CCCCGCCCCCGCACCTTCCCGGGCACCTCTGCTGCCGAGACGTCCCGAGTTTCTCCAGGTCACCACTGTGGATGGATAGAGAGCAGAAAAGGATCTGCAGCGTGAGAGACCGAGGTTAGATCAGAGGTGGGACTTCCCTCGAAGAGCCCAGAATCTGGGAACGCATTTATACCAGAAGAGAGGTTGCGCCCTAACCGGTTTGGCTCATTGGATAGAGCGTCGGCCTGAGGACTGAAGGGTCCCAGGTTCGATTCCGGTCAAGGGCATGTACCTTGGTTGCGGGCACATCCCCGGTGGGGAGTGTGCAGGAGGCAGCTGATCGGTGTTTCTAACTCTCTATCCCTCTCCCTTCCTCTCTGTAAAAAAATCAATAAAATATATTTTTTAAAAAAGAAAATAAAGAAGAAGAGAGGTTGAGAAGGAGGACGTTAAGCAGAGAGGCACACCTGTCTCTCACCAGCACCAGGATAGAGGTGTCTTGGGGGCAGGGGGATGGGCACAATAACCTGGACAGTTGCCAGGTCGGCGCGCGTCTCCCTCCCCACTTGCCATGCTGTTCCCACGCTCTAGAATGCCCTTCCCTGCCTCCTCAGGCTTACAAACTCATCCTCTTGCCCGAGCCGGTTTGGCTGAGTCCCGGGTTTGATTCCGGCAAGGGGCGCTTACCTCGGTTGTGGGCTCCATCCCCGGTCCTGGTCCGGGTGCCTGTGGGAGGCAACCAATTGATGTGTCCCTCTCACATCCATGTTTCTCTTTTTCTGTCTCTCCCTCTCCTTTCCGCTCTCTCTAAAAGCCAATGGGAAAATAACCTCAGGTGAGGTTTAACGAAAACAAAACAAAATACAACAACAACAAAAATAACTCCTAGCCCTGGCCGGTTTGGCTCAGTGGATAGAGTGTCGGCCTGCGGACTGAAGGGTCCCAGGTTCGATTCCAGCCAAGGGCACATGCCCAGGTTGCGGGCTCGATCCCCAGTCCGGTGCCTGCAGGAGGCAGCCGATCAATGATTCTCTCTCATCATTGATGTTTCTATCTCTCTCTCCCTCTTCCTTCCTCTCTGAAATCAATAAAGAAATAAAAAAAATAACCCCTAGTCTCCAGGGACCTGGCACTAAGGGAAACCCCTCCACAAATGAACTCTAGGACCCACTGGACTGGCAGCCCCAGGAGGGCAGGGCCAGGCCCTTCTCAATCATCACCATGTCCCCAGCGCTGCCCAGCACAAGACAGGTCTCTGGAGAAATTAATTGCATGAATAAATGTGGGTAATAAAAGAAAATGATGTTTCCCAAATTATACTAGCAATGTTGACTGTGTGCAAAATGCCGGCGTGACTCTGAGACCTGCCTCCTCTGGGTCTCCCTACAGCCCTAGGAGGGAGGTGCTTTTACTATTTTCAAATCATCAGCCCCAAGTTAGAGCTACAGCAGCTGAGACTCAGGGGTCACCTGGCGAGTAGTCAGCGCTGTCTCTTGAACCAGGCTGCCTGGCCCCAAAGGCGTTCAGCTCCCACTCTAGGCGCTAGAGAACCCAAAGCTAAGAAGGGTTTTCAAAGTGCAGCCCACAGAACCCTGGCTGGGAGGTGGCTGGGTCCCCAGCGCCCCTTCAAGGGGTCCCCGAGGTCAAAATGATCATCATCATCATATTAAGGCGCTTACCTGCCCTTTGCACTCCCACTGTTTCCTGAGTGTACGGTGCAGGCAGCACAATGTCACAACAGACCCAACACAGAAGTGAGGCGAGGACCGAGTTGTCTTCTGTTGAGCCAGACATTACAGTAATTTGCAAAAATTACTACACTTTTAAATTTAGTAATTAAATTACTAATTTTAGTTCTGGAAAATATGGTTTTTAATTAAGACTACAACCCTGGCCCTAGCCATTTTGGCTTAGTGGATAGAGCGCCAGCCTGTGGACTGAAGGATCCTGGGTTCAATTCCGGTCAAGGGCACTTACCTCAGTGGCAGGCTGGTTCCCCGGCCCCGGTCGGGCATGTGCGGGAGGCAACCAATCGATGTGTCTCTCTCACATCGATGTTTCTCTCTATATATATGTTCCCCTCCCTTCTACTCTCTCTAAAAATAATGGAAAGATATCCTCAGGGAAGGATTAAAGCAAACAAACTATAGCCCTGGCCAGTGTGGCTAAGTGGTTAGTGGGCCCCGTATACCAAAGGGTCTTGGGTTTGATTCAGTCAAAGGCATATACCTGGGTTGCAGGTTTGATCCCAGCAGGAGGCAACCAACCAATCAATGTGTCTCTCTCACATGGATGTTTCTCTCCCTCTCTCCCCCTCCCTCCCTTCCACTCTCTCTAAAAGTCAATGGAAAACATATCCTCCGGTGAGGATTAACAACAACAAACCATATGGCTTATGGTAACATGAAATTGGTTTTATCTTCTTTTTAAATGAAGTGAGTGTTTCTGAACTACATTAGTCCTCATTTCCAATACAGTGAATATTGATAGATACACTCCACATCTACAAATCTTTTTGGGGTCCTCTTTTAAGAGCAAAAGAGACCCTGTGACCAAAATGTTTAAGAATCAGTGAACTAGTAACCACATAAACCTGACAAGTGCCACGAAGGACAAGAATGTGGGGACAGTATGACAGCATGGAGGGAGCTGGAGGGCACTATGCTAAGTGAAATAAGCCAGTCAGAGAAAGACAAGCACCATATGATTGCACTCATATGTGGAATTTAACGAACAGACTGAACTACCAAGCAAAACAGAGACGGACTCACAGAGAGCAGGCAGACAGCTCTGGTGGGTGTGGTGGGGGTAGGTGTGAGGTTGAGGGATTGAGCAAAAAGGAAAGAAAAAAAGGAGAGAGAAGTCATGGACATGGACAACAGGGCGGTGATTGCGGTGGGGGTGGGGGTGGAGGTGGAAGAGGGCAGAGAGGGGAGAAATATTGATGGAAAAATTAAATTTAATTAAATTTAAAATAAGTAAATAAGAGAATGTGGGGACATCATTTTAACTGGGGGTGGAGAATGGGAGGACAGAAGAGATACATGGACAACAGGGCGGTGATTGCGGTGGGGGTGGGGGTGGAGGTGGAAGAGGGCAGAGAGGGGAGAAATATTGATGGAAAAATTAAATTTAATTAAATTTAAAATAAGTAAATAAAAGAATGTGGGGACATCATTTTAACTGGGGTTGGAGAAGTAGTTAATCTCCAAAATATATAGGGCACTCATACAGCTTAACAAAAAGAAGACGAACAATCCAATTAAAAATGGGCAAACGACCTAAATAGACAATTTTCCAAAGTGGACATACAGATGCCTAAGAGAAATATGAAAAAATGCTCAAAGTCACTGACCATCAGAGAGATGCAAATTAAAATGGCAATGAGGTGTCACCTCACACCTGCCAGAAGGTCAACCATCAACACATCAACAAATGACAAGTGCTGGCGAGGATGCGGAGAAAAAGGAACCCTCATGCACTGCTGGTGGGAATGCAGACTGGTGCAGCCACTGTGGAGAAAGTATGGAGTTTCCTCAAAAAATTAAACATGGAACGGCCATTTGACCCAGTGATCCCACTTCTAGGAATATATCCTAAGAAACCCAAAATACCAATCAGAAAGAATGTATGCACCCCTATGTTCATATACAACGAATATGAACGAATTTCGTTGCTAAGAAGCAATAGCTAAGATCTGGAAACAGCCCAAATGCCCATCAGTAGATGAGTGGATAAAAAAAAAAAAAAGCTGTGGTACATTTA